TCTGGGTTCATATTGATCTCATCTTGGAGAATGTTCTCCGTTAAGAGGCAGGACCACTTGGATCATTTTTTCTCACCATTGAAAGGATACCTTCAAGGATGTCAAAACAAAGAGCGCACCAATCAGGAGGACGTAATGATCCAAGTGACTCCGCCCACATGATTAAAGTGGAACGTGTTTTGGGACTTACCTGAACGGCTCCAATAACAGCATTCCGGCGATGTTGAAAATCCATGGATGAAGCATGTAGTCGGTGAAAGTATAGATGGCCGTCAAAACCTCGACACCACCAAAGTACCAATCCATTAGTTTAGCGCTCAGGTGATCTGAAAACCTTGTAAAATATCATTTCCGTGAGATCTCGCTCTTTGATACTCACGTGTATGCAGCATTGAAGGGAGTACTGCGATAAGACAGAAGAGAAGGAAACGACTGAATTTCGATTTCATTGGTTGCCGACGTTTCACCCAGGTGTTGTCGTTTGGACGTGGGCGATGAAGGAATACGGCTACCACTACCTGAACACAGCAAACTCGACTTCCGTGCTGATCCAGTTCAACTCCACCTTCACGGGAGAATTCATTCTAAGTATCCTATCAACTAGGGATAGTCTAAGGAACCCAGATTCGTTATCAGCAGCCCTTGAGCAGGCTACAAGGTTATCGGGTCTTATCGGTCCTTTTGAACATTTACCGAGGGTTTTGATTACGCGCTCCTTTCTGTCTAGTGATCCCCGGGTTGGAACGAATATCGTCAGGGAGGGCAAACGGCGTGGCGGCTATTTCCTGTCACTGCCCTGTCTTTTGAGCTCACTCTCTCCGATGATGTCAGAAATAGTAAGTCCAGGCCTGACACTGGGGGAGTGCTTTTGACCTAGAAAACCCTTCACTAGCCGGCTCGCCCTGGTTCAGCTACTCAGGTAACTGAATGGAGAGGACCTCCCACTCTCCGCTGACTACGGGTGAGGGGGGGGTCGTATTTCGAGAAGTGCATCTTACATCATCATCATCATGAAAAAGGCATTCTATGTGTTCCACCACACTACCAAGCAAGCTGCACGGAAGTGAGAGTTTCATCCTCCCAGACGAATCTCTTATCAATTTGCCGTTCATGGAGTGTAGAAGATTCGGTTGGCTTGATCTCATCCGGGATACGCGGGATTTGATCCCGGATAATATGTTTATGGACGGGCTGATTGCCACAATCTTCTCCCCTAACTGAAGAATTTATTCATGGTTTGATATGTCCAGGGTCACAAGCGTTAGCGGTAAGTGCACGGCGTTCGGCTTGGGGACATCTGCACTTCTACTAGTTCCTTTTGCTGGTTCCTTCTACACTAACAAATCTCCATTTTGTTGTTAATCTGTGAACGCGTTGTGAAAGGTGAGCGGAGTGGTACAAAAAGAGCTTCTTTGGCTACAGGAATTCATCAGGCTCTCACTAGTGACCTTTAGCAGGTTCGCTGAATGCACCATTTGGCTACGCTCCCCCACACCATGCCAAACTGCGCCGCAACTGCGTTTGCGGTATTCTAAGTGCCTCGGGCAGGTGGTTATTAATTTTCGCTGCCAAGCCCGAGTTCCATGTAGCTATACAAACAAGGTATTTTGGTCTCATTTAGATTTATTGTTTTTCACTCATTAAACAAATTATTCCTGAGACAAGGTACAAGCTTTGTCTCCATAAGTAAAACAATTGCTTACCGCCATGATGACAGAGACTGCAACGTAATAGACCACCAAGAAAAGAATCATTGACTCGGAGAGGTAATGGAACTTGTAGATGGTGATCAGCACTCCCTGAGTGATTGCCATCATCACGATAATAGGTGCCCTGGAATTGGTGGTTATTTTAGAGGTACATCTGTGCGATGACTGAATGGGCGGACACACCCAATGAGAAAGACAGGGTCACAGGTTGTCTCCGCCCATTCCTTCGCCCACCACGTCATCGTGCAATGTGTCTTTAAGTTTATCCATGGACTACTTTATATCGCTTTGTTCTACCTAATATGGCTTCGAGGCCGCCAGAAACAAATATGGGAATTATAATAAGGAATTCAGTCTACCTGCTGGGCTATTGTTCGTCATTTTTTTCAGACAAGGCTACAAATCCCTCGCAAAACAAGCGCCTTCGACTCACTTCCTTTTTTCATAAGCAAAAATAGATCTACAAAAACTCACCATGTATTGCATTTTGTAGTTTTCCCACGGCGAATCTCCTGCAGCATGCAAATGAACACGTTGAAAGCTCCATAACATATAGTGATCACCATAAAAGCCGACATCATTGTGAAAAACAGCTGAGTTGGAGTTTCGACAAACGGAAGGTTAACTGCATGTGGGTGGGTATCACTGAAAAAGAAATGGTTAGCCGGATTGGTGGTTCCATGGCTCCTCATTTCTGAACGAAAGAACAAACTGCTCGTTGCGATTTGTTCCGGAGAGTGGGCCATCCACTCCGCTTTCAATCAAGGAAACTTTTTCAATGCATGTGCTTTATCCGTGGGCTTAGTCCCGCGCTATTGCAGGGCCCTACTCGATGTTATTCCCCTAGAATTTTATCAGTTTTTCGCCACTTACAAGTTTTTCTACTAGTTGGCCTGTTGACGTGGTGCTGACGTTAGCACCGTCACCAGCGCTACACTTGTACAGTCCTTGCAAATAAGGCACATATTGGATGTGGGAATATCCAAAATACGGCCCCAAGATAAGGTATGCCTACCGATGATTCGCCTTGCTTGTACGGCATAGCTTTGATTAGGCGTTGATCTGTCCCATCTGGGCACGTCGTACGCAGGAGAATCCCCCAGCGGGAAGAGGATCGTAGTTGGTTTGGTCGCTGGAGGGAGGGGTGTGGTATTTGGCCTGAGAAAGTTTTTTAGCGGTTGATTTTTCCTGCTTCACGCGCTATGTCCTTATCGTTGGGAGAATCCCCTTGAGGAGAAATTGCCGTACTGCTCGCCGCTTAGAGAGAGAGAGGGAAGAGTGAACCTGCCTCAGGGAAATTTTTTTTCGTGCGGGAGAGATTTTTTCGGTTGCTGGGTATACATGCGTCTACAGTCTTTACCATTCAACTATCCCTTACTGAGTACAATATGAGGTGCATGAACAAGTTCTGCTCAGAGTATCCCAGTCTCCCTATCTATACACTCCCAGGAGATAGGAATGCCAGAAAGTTGGGAAACTGGAAAACTTGGAAGATGGTAGGGACTGGGAAGGGTGTCGTACCAGATGAGGAACTTTGGGGAGGAGTCGTGCCAGTACCGCCACTTCGCGCATCACGACGCTGCACCTTGTCGAGAAGGCTTCTAGAGGGATCTCCATTAAAAGCAGCGCTTTCAGTTCTCTTGAACTGACTCGGTGGGGTCGCCTCCTTCATGCTCGAAGAATCGAAGCAGCTTGGGACTACTCCGACCAAATACGTTCACTTTCGGAAGGGTACGGGATCGATTAGCTTCTGTTCATGAAGAGCTGCAGCTTCGTATTCATGGAAGAGCGGTCATTTGCATGTATGAAATTTGCGTGCTTTCATTGTCAGTACGATCACAACTTACTTCTTTTGCTGCAACGGTATGTCTGGTGGTCGTGATGGAGGTGTTGGCGCCAGAATGTTGATGTACTGCGGTACAAGACGTATTGTATAGGGAATATTGACGGCAATCATGTAGACAGTCATGTAGTCATTAGTATCGACGATGGCCACAAGACGCCAAAATGGTATCAACACAGCCAAATCGATCAGAAATGGCACATATGGACAGCAGTAGTATAATAATTCGATCATCTGAATGATGAAACCCTTCTTTTGTCAAAAAATGTCCGATATCGAAAAAATGTATCACGACTTATCAACGATTATAAGTTCAAGTCGGGTTCTGGCATGGAAGGGTATAGCTGCGACTCATTTACGTGACATTGATTCTGTTGAATCAAACTGGGTGCCCCAGACGAGGTCTACCGATAGACTCGAGGTGATTTACCCTTTACTGAATGTAAAAACCGTGCGCAAGGGGGGGGGGGCGAATTCTAAGGAAATCGCACGCACTTCATTGGCGTACATTACCTGGTAAAAAGCAAGAAGAGGTTTGGCCTAGCGTTATGTCCCCTTCACGGATGGCTCGTGGTCCCGGCTCCGCCCACTCAATCAGCATGGACTAGACCTTCAAGACTGTAAAATCCACCACTATGGAGGAAGGAACGATCTCAGGTACCTTGTCCGCGCTCCTTTCACAGCCTTCGAATTCATGCGCAGTTCAGAATTCAGTCATTTGAACAGCAACACACTGAAAAAAAAAACTAATATCGAAGCGTTTTCAAGCGACGGCCCGCAATTGTAAATTTCCTAACCAAAACCTGGACTACTTGAATAGACCACCATCTTGCATGGTTTTTGGACCTCATGAGGTGAAAGTTCCTCATGAGGTAAAGTTCTGAAAACGCTCTAAAATATATAGTATTAAATAATCGCTGGAACAGAGGTGAGAATCGCATGATTACTCAGAAATGCAAATTTCTTCTGTGAATGCTGGACAATTAACAAGAATAACTCGGCAGTAAGAAATGATTAGGTCACTGCGGTAATACTGTTATTGAAAACTAGTGAGAGATAAGCTAGTTATCCTGAAAACATGGTACAGCGATTACGGTACAGCATCGTTGGGAAAATTCTATTCTATCAGAGGATCGTGGTCGCTCGTTGGATACGGAGATGTGGTCTATGTATAGAGGTCGTGTCTGGTGGAATCGCATCCTGATATAAATTTTTTTGAACAGCACAAAATTTTCCGGTTGTTGACTTCTCGCTCTCGCGATGGGCCCGCTTTGCCGTTCTACCCTCCACTCCACCGTTTCGCCCTGCTAGATGGAATTTTTTCGAGAGAGAACTGGAAATTTTCTCAGAAAATTGGGGAATGTCATTGTAGAAAGCTGAGAAAATTTTTTAGAACGGTACGTAGGTAATCAGGCGATTCCACCAGGTAGGTAGGTTATTAGGTAGGTAGGTAGGTAGGTAGGAAGGTGGAATGAAGGAAGGGAAGAGAAGTCGTAGCAGAAAAAGAGGGGGGGGTGGTGTTGACACCGCCTTTTTCCACATCACGATGCTGTACCATGGTTGGGACTCATCGCATACGCTACTCACGGTTCAATTGTTCTTCTGAACATGGTGCTCAGATAGAGAAACCTTTCCAATAAAACCGCCAGCTTTACCGCGTCAGACCATCTTAAAAGCACTTAATTCAGTTCAATACAGTCATTCGTTTGTTCATCATTGTTTAATGTGCCTTCGATGAAAAAAACAGCTTTACAGAGCCCAAACAGTTCAATAAGAGCAAGCATAGTGAAAGGGGGTGCATATAAAAGAACTGAAGCTATCAGCTGATGGGCTGGAGGGACATGGAGTAACAGGTTCAGCCTCAACTAATGACTAGAGAGATAGTTGAGAACTCTTCGACCATTTCCTGTTGTTCCCACTGGGTGTTCGCGGATAATGACCAAAATCTGCTAGAGGATAAACCGCATTGATCGAAGTGAGCGTTTTTGAGGATTTTTCGGTCAATCGGGATAAACTCTGGTTTTACGATGTAAATGAGGCACAGGGCGCTGAAATGTTATTCTCAAAAGAGCAAGGGTGAGACTTAAAGGAAAGGCAATGAAGTAAACCAGTTCTGTTGTTTCATGAATCTGAAAGGAAGTAGGTTTGAAGGGAGCTCATTAAAGACCTACTTGACACCCCCCTCCCCCCACATGATCAATGTCACGCTCCATGTTCGGGTTAGGCTTATCATAGTTTTCCATTGGCACACCCTTCATTTCTAGTTTGGCAAATAAGAGAGGTGCCCGAGGAGGACACAGGGATAGGCCCGGCTCCGCCCACACATCTAGCGTGGAATGTGCCTTTGTGGCAAAAGACATCTTAAGAAACAAAATGCTCTCTTCAAGATTGAAGAAGGTCTAAAGTGGTCTGCATACTGACCATAATTACGAATGGGCCAAAAAAGGATGGACGCTATTCGGCTTGATGGGAGCACCAAATGGTTCCCAGCAAAGCTTTCACAGGCTACCTTGTGAAGACTGGGATATTTCTGGAACCAAAGTGGCTTAGTTTACCTTTTCTAAAAGCTTGCAAGAGGCTCACGAATGTGAGAGCTTTAGTTAACATGAACTCGCAGAAGGAACTAGCAA